GAACCAGTGGATGGAAGATCTGTCTCTCCTCTCTGTAAGTATAATCTGCCTTTCCAATAAAAATAAATAAATCTTTTTTAAAAGAAAGAAACGATTTAACCAATAGCTCCTCTGAATCAGGCCTCAAGGCCCCAAGGAGTGAAGGTGGCAGGAAGGGAAGGCATCGTGGGCAAGAAGTCATGATTCTGGGCCACATGGCCTCGACTCGTAGCCCTATCCCATCCCTCACTAGTATCATAAGCTTGGGTGGACTAAGCCATGCCAGAATGTCAATTTCCTCATTCATCATATAATATGTAAACCCATTATATTACTTATCTATTGATTTGAAACAAATCGCCCAAGACTTGGGGGTTAAACCAGCAATCACGATTTGCTATCTTTTGTAGTTTCTGTGGGCTGGGCACTTGGGGGCAGATCCACTAGGCGATTCTTATCTGACATCTTCCATGAAGCTGCAGCAAGAGGTGGAACTGCAATCTTTGGAAGCTTTGGCTGCGGGTGGAAGACTTGCTTCAGAGCTGGCTATGATATAAAAACCTTCACGGGTTTCAGCTGGCCACTGTCGCTTTAAGGACTGGAATGTCTTTAGACAGGATTGATGCTCTCCAAGTCATCGATCAAGTGGTGACTCCCGATTCTTTCACATTCTGAACTGCCTTTCCTTCGTTTATTCGCCGACCTAGCTCTGAAGACACGTGGGTTTGCACTCTGCACCATGACATACAACTTATAAAGCAATCCCTTCCACCTGGGGGGAAGGAAGCATTTGTCATGCTTTTCCTCAGACTAGGTCAAAATCTTCTTTGAATAAAATCTACCCATCCTGGTTCATTCCGGGGCTGAATCAAAACCCCTTCCCCGAGCTTCGGCTTACAGCTCTGATTCTTGGAGCACTGTTGCTTTTGTAGTACAAACGTCATCGTGTTCTAGGCTCGCTTTTGTACCTGTCTTCAGTTGAAGTCTCCACACAATCTTTGCTCATCCATTGAAGCCATAGCGTCATCCCTCAGAGGTTTCAGGTACCACTGAAACCCCTTATCATCATCTTCATCACTGGGCATGGGGGTGGGGGCAGAATACTGTAGACATGGCCTCATGGATTGCAATTCAAAAGCCAGCACCATCATCTGGTGTTGATATAAAAACAGAGTTTCAAACTCACCCTAGACTTCCTGAGTCAATATTCCATTAGGAATTCATGTGTACACATCTAATGGGGGGAGTCATACTCTGTGTCGATGTAATCTAAGCTTATGTTACTTTCGAGGATAATTACATTATACCATTGATCTTATTTTCTCTTATCTGAAATCTGTTTTCTCCCTCATGCTTGATGCTAAACCACATCTTTTTATGATGTGTTATAGTCCTACTGAAGCACTTAAAAGTGATTACATTCTTAGTTATGCATGGCGAGGCTGAGTGTTAAAACTCAGAGCATCTTCATCTTTGTCTTTTGTGGCAAGCAAAGGCCCTGGCATAGAATAGCTGCTTATACAAGAAATAATTTTTAAAAATGACACCTGCCTAAGTGATAGAGAAATTGGGTCATGATGCTGAACAGCTCAAGGCAAGGCTTGACCTCAAAGCTCAGGCACAGTGACAGCAACTCGGCCTTCCTTAACTTACTGCTTCTACCCCTATGACATTAACCAATCCCTGAGCCCCCATCACAGCCTCGGGATGACTGGGTCACCCAGAGGCCTATCCTTTCGCATTCCAATCCAGTCGACAAACAGCTTTCTGAAAAACTCCAGGAATGGAGGCTTCTATTTTTTTTTTTTTTCAGAAATCTTGGAAAATTCCACTAGCATTCGTGGAGTCATGAGTCAATTTCTGAGCTAACCACCAAAGCAAAAGAGTATTAATGAATCTAAAACAGTGAAGGTCCAGTTCCAGAGCAAATCGTGGCTGGAAATGGGGTGGTCCATCGGGCAGTGAGGAAACTGACTCCAGAAGGAGTGGGGACACAGACCTGCAGCACAAAGCTAGCAGCTCTTCATTCCAGAGCGTGCAAGGTGGCAACTGTCGCTAAGGATCTCCCAGAATCACAGCAAACAGCGGCAGGGGTCCAGGCCAGGGGACTCCATTTTGAAAAGCCACACCGATTATTCTGCTCCAGCACATTGTCTCAGAGCCCTGGCTCACCTCCTCCCGGAATAATAAAGCAGTCACTCGAGTCATTTGGGCCACTCCACAAACCACTCCAGAGCGGTTTGCCACACATAATAGAGGGTGCACTTGAAAGGCAGCACCCAATGACCAGTTCTGGTTGAAGACTTTTGTGTTTTTCAAAAACTCAATAAGCAACAGAAGTGACCACAATGTGTTTGAAACTTTATAGCATGTGTCTTCAGGAGACAAAGTGCCCAAAACTAGATGGAAAGACTTATAATTTTTTAAATTAAAAACTGTAGATAGGAGAGGTAATACTCAAAGCAAAATAAGCATGAATCCTACGTTGTCATTTCAAAAATAAAACCCGGAGAATAGAGAAAATTGTAATACGGAATTCATAAATCTACTTTGGCCATATGCTACACAGCATATCCACAGGGCCTGCTCTCATCAAGCTGCAGGAGAAGGGGGTCATTCCTGTCTTTAGCTCAATTCTCGTTCCTGTCTCAGCCCCAACTTACAACCGCAGCAACTCTTCTGGGTGCGTGCCTCTCTTCAAGGTGTTTACTGTGAGGACAGACAGGCCAGCAAAGGCATATCATTTTCAAAACAACCTCAGGGGCCGGCACCATGCGGACCAATCCTCCCCTGCGGTGTTGGCATCCCAGATGGACTCGTGTCCCAGCTGCTCCACTTCCAATCCAGCTCTCTACCTGGAAAACAAGAGGAGAGCTCATCTTTGGGCGCCTGCATCCACATGGGACACCCAGAGGAAGCGCCTGGCTTTAGCTCAGTCAGCTAGGGCCACTGTGGTCGCTTGCTTCTTGGAGTGAACCAATAGAAAGAAAATTCTCTCTCTCTCTCTGTATTTTCTGTCAATCTGCCTTCAAAATAAAAATACATTTTTTTTAAAAAAGCACTTAAACACAGACCTGTTCAACTCCAGGAAGGACATCACCCGTGCTAACCGTCACAACGGAAGGATGGCATCCTAAACCCCTGGCGGCCTCAACCACTCTAATTCGACATTGTGTTTCACTCCTGGCTGTGCCACATCAGTAACTTCCTGCCTTGCAGGAAGGTCTGTAATCACTAGCTCTGTTCTCCTCTATGAACGAGCACAGGCATTATTCCTCAGACTGGTGCAGAAATACGACAGGTCATGTGTAAACGCTGAGAACCACAAGCGTCTAAGAGGCCTCCCTTCTCTCTGCCCCCTGCCGAGTCCTCACAGACCCTCCTCAGCTTCTCTGCCTCCTGTTTGTACTCTCAAGGATGTAGATCATAGTATACCACACTACACAAACTGTATTAGAAACGTTTGAAAATCCTCAGGTTTTTCTAAGAAAACCACACAAAAAGAGCACAGTTTGACCTTTACTGAATATAAATCTTTAGGGAAATTTAATAGTGAACTTCAGTCACAACTTTCAAAATAACAGCGGAAACACCTTTGCTCCCTGACTACAATGTCCTTGAGGGTCGGGACTTCATTTACAAAACTTCATACTCCCCTAATGGTCTAGCCCACTGGCCTGCACATTTCAGGAAGATGCTGAAAGGAAGGCTAAACTGAACTAGTGTGAAGGGCTTATCACCCTGAAGGGCTCAAAGGGTCCTAAATGGTTTTAGAATGAAAAGTATGGCAATCAGTGAGGGGAGAGGGTTGGGTCCACAACCTAGTAAGAACAGTCATAATCTCTGAAATCTTTTTTCTAAATTAAAAAAAAAATTTTGTGGCCAGGAGACCAAAGGGGGTCCACCAGATCTTACGTAGGGTCCCATGGTCTCTAGAGTTGCCTTTTCTTCTTCTTTTTTTAAAAAGATTTATTTTATTTATATTGCAAAGTCAGATATACAGAGAGAAGCAGAGACAGAGAGGAAGAACTTGCGTCCGCTGATTCACTCCTTAAGTGTTCGCACTGGCCAGAGCTGCGCCAATCTGAAGCCAGGAGCCAGGATCCTCCTCCAAGTCTCCCACGCGGGTGCAGGGTCCCAAGGCTTTGGGCTGTCATCTTTGACTGCTTTCCCAGGCCACAAGCAGGGAGCTGGATGGGAAGCAGGGCTTCCGGGATTAGCACCAGCACACATGTGGGATCTGGCACGTTCAAGGAGAGGACTTTTTAGCTGCCAGGCCACAGCGCCGGGACCCTACACTTAAGTTGGGCATGTAAAGAATGGGAAATAACAAGCTTTCCAAAATCTGTTACAGCTACAAAATTCAGTATTCAAAATTCCCGCACACATTTGTGGCAAAACTCCCAAGAAGAAGGCATCCTGTTAGGTATGAGGTATGCTAGAAGATATAGATAAAAAAAGAATTGCCCTTAACTGAGTTCACGGTTTGTTAACCAAAAAGGCAGGGACACACAAGCTGTAATGCACAGCACTGAGGGGAGGCGGCCACAAAGGAGGCAACTGACGTGAGACCGTCAGCTGTGCAGACAAGGACACACTTTGTATAGGGTGGCATTTGTTCCTGCTTCAAGATAGCAAAGACAGAGCAACCACCAGGTCAAGCAGTGTGCGGCAGTGACCGAGAAAGTCAGACCCTGCCTCGTGGTGCCTAGGGTTGGCAGCAGCAGACAGACATGGCGGGATGGGAGGATTTATAGAGCAAGCACAAGAAGGCAGATCTCGAAGCACACAGGAGCAGCTCCAGGCTCTGCCTGCACCAGGTCAACATGGCAAGCGAGAAGATGGCAAGGCAGGCTAGCGCTTCCGTGCAGAGCCTGAGATGGCGGGCTGCGAGTCTGGCCCAGCAAAGCAACAAGTCTCATCCACGTGTTCACTTCAGGGGGTAAATGATGCATGTGAATCCACTTGGTTTTCCGGTACCAAAACAAAGATGACTCAAAGAAAATTCCTCCCCAAATTATTTTAAATAGATTTATTTGCAAGAGAAAGACATGTGAACATCAGGTACAGTCTGATTCAACATGATGCAACCGTGTGTTGTCATTCAGTGTTCCTCGTCCCCTGGAGGACAGAGCCACGGCTGCAGGACCTGAACGCTGACCAAAGTTCATCAAGCCGTCTAACCTGACCGCGATGCAGTAATAAAATACAATATCAAATACTCAGTGCTTGGTGAATTACAAACTACAATATAAACAATTTAGGCTCTTTTATACTGAAAAAATATTTCTATTACAGCCTCATTTTAAGCATTTTCTATTAGGTATAGTTTTATATATTTTTACACACAAGTTCCGAGTAGCCCCGTGCTGTGGCGAGACTCGGGCGTGACTTGGACACTTCTCATACTTGGTTTAAAAAACATGTTTTCTAGCAGGGAGAAGATGAAGCTGTAAAGAGAACCAACATCATTCCTTTTCAATGACAGTCTAAATTCCAGAGAACGTGGCTTTCCATCTTGTGTTCAAAGTGTGTGGTCCTGAAGCGCAATTCTTCGCAGTCCAAGAGCGGCCTGAGGCTGTGGGCAGCGCCTGCCGATGAAGCGAGCTGGGGGGCGAGTGTGAAGCACAGAGATGGGCACTGATAAAACAAGTCCCCTGAAGTCCTGGCCCACTCGGGGTGAAGGGCAGCCGGAGCTCTCAGCACGGAAGAAAAACGCGCTCACTGAACTGCACACATAGAGCTCTTAGGCGTGTGAACAGTCCTGGACATGGGTTCCTGGTTGTAGTTTACAATATCTGCCTTCACCACTCTCTGTCATAAAAGAAAACACAGTTGTTATCAAGACATCAGAACATTCACAAAGAGCTCCTTTAAGTATATTTTGATTGTCTGAACTTTGGTGAACTCCTGATGACAGACATCATAAATGAAGCTGGAGCTGATACTACAAGAATCAACCAAAACAAACTCGCGAGTGTTGGGATTTTTTTTTCCTGATCTTGGTTTTGGTTTTGGTTTTGGTTTCTTTTAAAGATACAATAGCAACTTGGTTATTGAGTCTTCCCTGGTTTTGTGATATTAACTTGAGGTTACTACCAGTTCTATAAAAGAAAAATTGATGAACAAAACATGAAAAATTAAACCCTTGTTGTAATTTAAAGCAAAGAATTAGAATAAATCATTCACACATATTTTAGCTCATAGCCAAGACCTCATCATTTCAAAGTAAAACTGTCATTTTACCAGTATTCCCGCCGGCCATTATACTCAGCCATAACTTTTATTAGAATGTTTACAGCAGAGTATGAATTAGTAAAAGACATGTTTAGGAGGACTGAAAATACAAAGCAGAGGGCAACTGCATTTTAAAAATTCCCCTAGATTTTAAAACCTTACTGATAAATCCCTAACTTCTTTCCAACGAGCTCACTCATTATAATGCTATGAATAGCAACTCCAACAAAATATGGTGTAGTAAAAAATTCAGAAATATTTAATACTCATTTATAAAATAACTTAAGCCAAAAGACACTTTTAGCTCTTTTTCCCTTCCTTCCAATTCATACTTAAAGGAGTATCAGAAACAACGAATTTAGCAATATACCCTAATACTCACACTTAGCAACACGTCAAAACAAATCTTTCATTTGTTTTTGAACTCTCTTCCCAGATTTGCACATATAAGCAGCTAGAAAAGGGTAATTCAAGGCAAATTTTAAATGTATTTTTTCAATTACCTGGCTACTTCAGGGAAAATGGAAGGCGACAGATAATGAAATAACTGCCTTAATTATGCACTTCATTGTACATGTAATAAACACAAGCATAAAGACAAATGGGTCTCAAAATGACTAAAATGTAGTTTTAGTTTGTTCTCGATTTCTTGTATACGTCATACATCTCCTAGCAAAGCACCAATTTCAAAGTTGTTAAACAGGAATTATGCAATATTAATTTCCAAAGCTGTACAAGCATGAATTTCCCTATTCATAGGGTTTGAAGACCAAGACAGCACTCCCTAGTTCTCCCCCCCTTCCCATCAATACCTGAGCTACTGCACTGCACAGATCCTACTCTGAGCAGAGGCCAGATGCCGGGCATCTTCTTCCGGGTACTTCACTATTTCTGCCCTGACAATACGCTGCCAATTCCATACAACATAAACAAGATGAAGAAGAAAGGATTAAAAAAAGCAGAAGGAAAGACAATGGAAGTTTTGTTCAATGACTGAAAATACAAGGGAACATCAAAATAGAAAAAGAAAATTAATACACAAATTAAACATCACAAATAGCAGAATGCATACATACAAAAGGAAGGCAAAAGAACAGACTCAAGAACCATTATTCTTTACAATTCAATTTAAATTCTGAAATAAAATGTCTACTGACTCTTCCAAATTGAGTTGTATCTGTAATGTCACAATTACACGTAACATGTACTTAGAGGACTGTGAACAATTACAGGGAGTCTCTCTGCTAAAGCACAGCAAAAACACTGATTTCATTTCTTCTGACAATCCCGATGATTAAATATGTACTAGCCACCATAAATGGGACGACAGCGAATTACGTATGTACGCACAAATTGCTGCAGACCTAACGGGAAGCACACAAAGACACACACACACAATGCAGCACATACACAAGCTAGTTGTTTCACTAGTGTACAAATGTTGTGCAAACACAGAGGAACAAGCGATCAATCATCTTAAAAGGTGGAGAGAAAGAAGGAATCAGAAGAAGCCTTTTGCCATTTGTAATTTTTATATTTAATAACATTTATTACTGAGTCAAAGACTTGTGCCGTTCACTCTGTCATTCCTCTCCACTCTACTTTCCATATTCCACATAAAATAAACAAGTGCAAAAACTCATAAAATATAACATCTAAGCAAAACAGCTACTGCTTTCAATTATCTAGAGTTCTGCTAAATAAAGAACAAAAATATATTAGTATGTCTTAATTGCTACAATTCTTGGAATGAAAAGGCCACGTGAGACAGAAGCATAGCAGAAGTAACATGCTTCCCATACTTTTTCAGACTGGAAACTACCCTTGCTTTGTAAAGAATCATAGATAGCTTATTTCAGAAAACTTGTCTTACATAACAGCACCTATTAGCATAATGAAAATTTCCTATTGGCTGCTATTTCTGATGGCATTCACAAACAGATTCAGTAAATAAATGAGAGTAAATGAACAAAGATGCCGATTTTATAAATATATTGGGTGGATCCTGCTTAATCTCTCTAACCAGCAGTATCAACTTGAGGAAAAGATAGGACTTCCTGGGCCCTCCCTGTGCTGTTATCAACAAAAGCATCAGCAACCGCCAAGGAGCTGTGAGAGGTACGCCAGTGAGATGCACAGCGTAACTGACCTCCCCACACTCCCCTGCTCATGCTGAACTAGGATACGGTGGAAAGGAGGAGGTTTTCATCATCAGTGGAGCTCATTTACCCAACACAATGCTGGTTCAAACTTCATTCTTTAAGCACAACCAGGGTACTGAACTATGCTGGAGGCATTTTTGATCAATGTATCAACTAATATCTAATTAACAGGGCAGAATCTTTCTTGATGGTCTCAACTACTTGAAATAAAGTTAATACAATATTTCTAAACTTGAAGATACAATTAAGGCCTTTGAAGATTCAAAATTTTGTTTTCTACAAGCAGAAAAATATGCTTTCTGTGTCATAAACATCACAGTAGGTGGCTTCTCAGTAATTACATTGCTTCTAAGCCATTTATTGATCTTTTCTAGGACAATATTACTTAGAAAACACCAGCCTCTACTTTTGCAGACACAAACAGACACTCAATAGTTTTCCTCTAATGGTCTAATAGTCCTTAACTCCCATGCTGTCAGAGAGTGCTGGCAAGCGACCTGGAGTTAGCAATGGCAGGCACGTAGAGTCAAGCACAAAAGGAGTAAAACGTCCAAGGAGTGCTGACAGGCTCAGAGGAAAGCACGGAAGATAGAATTTGGCCAGTGTGCAGCTGCATCTTAACCCTGAGAGTAGTAACATGTTTACCACTGCAGAAGCCGTAGCTTGTCATGTTCAGGATGTGGAATCAGTTCATCTTGAAGCCAAAACATTTGGCACTATCATTAATTTAAAGTTCATCAGTATTTATATGTTTTAGATAAATATTGTACGACGGAAAACTGTGGCATGGAAAAATCACCAAACAATTTCTCATTGGTATAAAACCAGAGTGCAAGCAAACAGTAAGTTTATGATTTAAAGTTTGAATAAAGCATGTTAAAAGCACAGTAACTCCCACAAAAGCAATAGGTTAAAAAGGGGGGAAAAAGGTATTCCTTTTCCTCTGTGTAACAGGCCATTAACTAGGTGGCCAGGAGCATTCAAAACTTTGGGCAAGTTACTTCACTCTCCATGACCTCTTAGTCTATAAAATAAAAGATTTATCTACATTGTTTCCAACATCTTTTCTGGCTTTAAAACTGTATGAACAAAATAAGCTTAAAAGGCAAACAGAAAAAAATCAAAGATGAAATACGATACAGAAATCCATTAAGCAGTGCTGCAATGTCTCAGGCCTCAAAGAATAAGCACAAAATTAGTAAACCAGTGGGCCAAGGAAGTCAAGCAGCAGTTAGAACAAAGAAAACATCTCAGTATGCCCTCAAAAACACACCGGCAAAAAAGAACCTTAAAAATCAGTATCAGGAAAAAACAATCTAAGTCCCTTACGAACTCCTTAAAGAAAGTTAATACTGAGATAAAGCTGAAAAGCAAGGAGAGCCTTACGATCAGGCACCAGGGATTAAACAAGCACTTGTGTTATACAGTTACATGCTAATTAAAATCTGCTAAAATCTAAAGTGTGCCTAGTACATGCCAGAACCTATGCTGGCACTTCCATAAGCAGTGTGCACATAACAGCTGCCTGTGGTAAGTTCAGTGGATGTATCAGACATGACAGAAATGACGGACTCTGAGAGGTGAATGTAGGCAGGGCAATGCAGTCGGCCTAGCAGATAAGACACCCATGTCCCTCATCAGGGTGGCTCTGGCTCCCGACTCCAGCTTCCCACTAAGGCAGACAACAAGAGGCAGGAGTGCTGAGGATTCAAGTAGTCAGGTTCCCGTCCAAGAGAAGAACTGGACTGCATTCTGGGCTCCTGGCTCTAACACGGGGTCTACTCTCCGTCACCACAGGCATTTACACACACTATCAGCAAATGGAAGCTCTCCTCTCCATCTCTGTCTCTCTCAAATAATAAATAATAGAAAAATGCATACCACATTCAAACCAAAGGGAAATCCATAGTTTAACAAACAAGTAAAAACACCTAATTAAAAAATAAGAACTCAATACCGAGCATGCATAGAAAATGTCCTTGTCATTTACATTGAAAGGCAATATAAGAGTTTGCATTATTTGTTCAGAGATTATTTAGTATTATTAAGGGGCAGAATGCAAACTTTCCTAGGTAAAAGCAGCTGTAAATTTATTTTTTTCCTACACAGATGCAACTATTAACTAAATTAAGACTTGTTAAAACTGTGTTGGTGATGGGGTGCAGCCAGCTGATGGCTAGCACCCACCTGTTAGCTTAACTGGTGCACAGATACAGTGTCCGCACCCGACCCTTCCCACCTTCTCTGGCACCATTCAAGTTAACTGAAGCGCAGAAATGGCTCTGGAGGTCCAAGCACCTGGCCCCTCCTGCCGCCTATTGTGCTAGGTTAGGTTAACTAACTACTGGCAAACTCTGGGATCCAGCAGCTCCCTTCCTGCCTCCTGCACATGGAAACTGTTCTGGATGGCTCTCACTCTGATTGGAGATTGAGAGCTTCAAAATCCCTGACTTCTGCTACATGGTGCAGTGGTCCTGGAGTGTAGCAGGAGCTGCTGTCACCAAGCTTAGGCAATAAAGACCCCTCCTAACATCCTACAGTTGGGTCCAGTGAGATCTCTCACACTCCACAACAGTGTCTCTATTAAACCTATTGTTTAGATGTGCATCTGTCCCATTTATCCTGAAAGTTCCATGAGGACAAAATTTGACCTTGTTCAACTCTGTAGCTCAGATTCTAGTTTGGTTATTGGTCTAAAGTAGACCCTGAAAATATGCTTGCTATGTTAATAAACTATTATTATTCTTTCTCTTCCCTGCAAAACTTTAGAATGTTCTGATAACATTATAAGACTCGCAAATAGGCATGATTCAGGTTAGAACTAAAACAGTAGTGTCTTTTTCATAAGCCATGAATGGAACTAAAACTGAAACCTCATTACAAATATTTACACTATGAACTAAATTATAGCACCAAGTTCTATATGACTGGTGAATATGCAATTTAACTTCTTGTCTATAACACAATACAAAGTACTGGCAAGCATGACTTCAAATTCCCTCAAAAATCTTTGAAATATCATTAAAAAAATCCTGTGATGGGGTGTATTGGGAGATTCAGTCATATAGAACCTGCAGGTAATACACCTTACACCTCGAGCAAATATGCCTGAATGTTAAACTCGTATCTGAATTCAAGATAGTCATTTTGTTGGTGTTGCAACAAAAAGGAATGAGAATACTCATAAAAATTCCCCAAATTTTTGCCTTTCATAAGCATCCCAGGTCCTCCTTCCCTCTCAAGGTCTTCCTGCATCTGAGCATCTCACAGCTCAGGGAGACAGTTCTTCCTGTGTGACACACCAGTAGGCCTTGCCTTCTGGGGAGAGCTAGTTCTCCATTTCTCCAGACAAGAACTCTGCATTCCTCTGGACTTCTTGTGCTCTTTATGCAATCACTCCACACACTCACTTTGAAACACTGCCTACTTCCATCCATCCTTTCCCTTTCACCTTCACACTGGTTCTTACCACATGGTAGCTGCAACAGATTCCTTGCTTAATTTCCTTCCTATTCCGTAACACATAAAATATCCCATTAGATTAACACTGCCTGAAGACTGCTTGCACTTATTTCTCCCCCTAAAAATTAGCCCCACCATATACATTAAAGTGCATTAATCTGGCCTTCTTCAATCCCTGTAACTGTTCCCAAACCCCATTGAAGTCTGGTGCAAACAGGCATTTGCTTTATCCAAACTATTCTTCTGTTTCCAAATACAACATAAGCTTTTTACCCAGGTATATTTTCAAATCAGTTCCTTTTATCAACCATTTTATTCCTTCCACAAGTCAGTAGAGTGGCAAAAATAGAGATACTATCAACAGCCAAATGATTCAAATTCTGGACTCCCATTTCTTAGCCATGGGTCAGTGGTCAAGTGAGCCAGCCTCTCCGCAGGTCTGTGTTCTGACTACAGAATGATGAACTCTCACCTGTCCTAGAAGTTATTGTGGGGATTAAATGAGATAACGAAGGCTGACAGATACCACATTAATATTATTCATTGAAGTTAGGGCTACATTTTAAACATTTTTTAATCTTTTTATAAAAACACTACTATAGTGTTATAGGGTATAACCAATAAGACATTTATGACTGCTTGATAATCACTCATGGATTCTCCTCCATTAACCAGAAACAAACGTCATTTAGAAAGAGACACTAAGGACCAAAGCCACAGCAGGCTAGGCCTCCACCTGAGGTGGTGGCATTCTATATGGGTGCTGCTTCATGACGGCTGCTCACCTTCCCAACTAGCTCTTTGCTGGTCACCAGGGAGAGCACCAGAGAATGGTTCAAGTCCTTGGACCTCTGAAGCCATATGGGAAACTTAGAAGAGGCTCCTAGGTCCTGGCTCCAAATCCTAGCTTTGAATCAACTCAACTCTGGGATTGTGGCCATATTGGGGAATGAAACTGTGGATGGAAGATCTCTCTCTGTGTGTGTCTCTCCTATCTCTTTGCCTTTCAATTAAAATAAATAAATAAATCTGAAAGCAAGCAAGCAAGGAAGGAAGGAAGGAAGGAAAAGAAAAAAGGAAGGAAGGAAAGAGGAAACACTAACAAGCAGAGGCCTGTACACCCTGGAGCTCTGCCTGAGGCCTCTGTGACTTCTCTTTCCTATATTCTTCCCTAAGCAAAAGCCAAATCACCACTTTTGAATGTGTCTGGAAGCTCTTACCACAGAACAAAATATCTTATCACTATACCTAGCCATAGAAATCAGAGAAATAAATCTCTCAGAGAATTAAAAATAGCAAATTTTCAGAGTTTCAAATATTTTAATGTCATAGTAACATTTACATCAGTATAACAATTTTCAATTAGTATTGAACATAATTTCTCTCTTTTTAACACATACACACACATGCACACATACACACACATACGCAGACACTACATTAACTTACAGAATTAAGGAAAAATTAGGGATGGAAAAAAATCATTATATCTTTTTTGTTGCATAAAATGAATGAGGCCGAGAAAATACAGAGAATATGTAATTAGGTTTTGCTTCTCACACACAACTTCTGCAGCTTATTTTAAACTATATAATTTCTTAATCTGATCTCCCTGGCAAACACATACATTAATTATAATTACAATGATATTCCAAGTTATTTTTTAATATTTATTCATTTTTATTGAAGAGACAAATTCACAAGAAAAAGGAGAGACAGAGGGATTTTCCATCTATTGAGTCCTTCCCCAAGTGGTCACAATGGCCAGAACTGCACTGATCCGAAGCCAGAAACCAGGAGCTTCACCAGGGTTTCCCACATGGGCACAGGGTGCCAAGGCTTTGGGCTGTCCTCAAGTGTTTTCCCAGGTTACAAGCAGGGAGCTGGATGGGAAGGGGAGTGGCTGGAATGCTAACTTGCACCCATATGGGAATCCAGTGCTTGCAGGGCAAGGATTAACCAACTGAGCCACTGTACCGGGCCCCTCTAGAAATATAATTTGGTTCTGCTTCTAATCACACAACTTCTAAGCTTCCTTTATAATCTCTGGCTCTGACCACTCATTCTGTCAAATATATATATTAAGATTGCAATTCTGATATTTTTAAGTTCTTGACTATTGGTATTCATGTATATATCTCAGACTAAGCTGCTCAAGAATAGTGAAACATACAGAAGTCCTCAATAATTAGTACTATTAAATTTACAAAATAATATCCAGAACTGATATGATGGAGCTGGCACCATGGAGTAGCAAGCTAAGCCTGTACCAGTGCCATCAGCATCACATATGGCTGTCGCTTTGTGCCCCAGCTGCTCCACTTCTGATCCAGCTCCCTGCTTGTGGCCTGGGAAAGCAGTGGAAGATGCCTCAAGTGCTTGGGCCGCTGTACCTACATGACAGACACACAGAAAAAGTTCCTGGCCTCTGGTTTCAGATTGGTCCAACTTCAGCCATTGTATTCCTGTGAGGAGTGAACCAGTGGATAAAAGACCTCTTTGTCTCTCCTCCCCTCTCTGTAACTCGGCCTTTCAAATAAAAATAAAATAAATCTTTAAAAAAAAAAGGGAAGAACTTAAATAAAGAAGCACAGGACAAGACAACGCAATCAGCACCGTAACCCATTAATTAGCCACTGCTGAAGGAACAAAATGAAGCTACAAGGAGAGTAACAGCCTCCACATTCTGCAGGAAACACTGACTTGTCATCAAATCCCAAGAGTTTTTAGCATATCTACATCTATGGACAGACAGCAGATAGCAGAAATGGGAAATGATAATGTATAACAAAATCATACGAAATCATTAATTCTTAAAATATGAAATTCAAATGATCACCTGTGACTGTTCTATTTCTGCTTTGTTTAATTTGATTCCAAGGATTTCAGCAGCCACTTTTTGAAAACACAGGAAGACCTACATAATAAAAACAGGTTTAAATGATTCAAACAGGCATGTATAAGCTAGCTTAACTGAACTGAACTTCCCAAAAAGTGATAAACAGCAAAAATTATAAAAATATGATTCATGTGAGTCCAAAAATAGCTTTATTTATAAAATGTAGCAGCATTTTAAATGTAATAAAAATGTTTTAATGATTAAACTATAATTTGAAAGTGAGGTAATGTGGCCTAAACATACATTTGTCCCTAAAAGATACATTTTAAAAGGATTTGGTATAAAAATTAAAGCTACTAGTGTATCCAAAACAACACATTTGCTAGCATTAAAAAAATCCTATGATTCTTGAAGAAAATGACAATAAACTAATCTCTGATTTTATACTGACAATTCTACACCGATCTTTTGAGCTATCTTTAGTCTATCTTTAAAAGGTTTTCTTTGTGGTTCCTACCAATTTCAATAAATCCTCCGTATCTCCTGAGTAAAACAACTTGTGATCCTTAACTATACTTTATCAGTTCAGAGTAAAGGAGCTATACATTTCATCATAGCTTATCAAAAATCCACAAATAGTTCTGTAGATAAACAGCCTTTCACATTTGAGAAGAGTTAGTGCACTGGGGTTCCTAAGAGCGCCAATCCTGGCATTTACTGTAGCATAAATTACTTTTCCCTCATACATATCCCAGCATTCTCCTGCCCTTATTCATCTCCTAAATACTTACTGAATATCCATCACAGCATTAATAATTCAACTTTTATTTTGAATCAAGAGATGAAAACCCCTGAATGGATGCCACTTCAGCCTCAAACAGCCCAAGTATATATTCAGTTTGCTTACAGTCAACATTCAAGGAACTGGAGAGAAAGAATTCGAGAAGAAACTGAGCACAGAGAAGTGGGTACAAATATGCAGGACCCGGTGGACGACTGGGAAGACTTTGGCATCTATTCTGAACAGAGTGAAAGTTAAAGGAGGTATGACTACCACTTTAACAGGACCAATGTGGTTGTTCCATTCAGTATTCATCCAGTGTATAAAAAGAAAAATGAGTAAAGAGACTAACATAAGATGTTATGAAGGATGAAACCAAAGTGGAAGCAGTGGAGATGAGAAGACACAGTTGCTCTGCCAGTGTTAACCACAGACATGAAGGGGAAAGGTCATAGGATGAAAGTAGTTCTTTGACTTGGGTTTAGATGATACTTCGTAGGAGTTTGGCTGGCACCTGGCCTGGTCAGCAGGGCACCATCTGAGCTTCCTGCTGAGGCAGTGATGATAACACAGCTGGGCTCCTGCCAAGCACCTGGAAGGCCTGGGTTAAGCTCCAGGCTCTGACCTTCAGCCAGATCCAGGCAGGCATTTGGGTTATGAACTGCTGGGTGGGAGATCCTTCTTCCTCTCCAGGGAGAGGAGTGGCATGCAAGACATGAATCAACTTATAGACCTAAGTCATCCTTCTGAGATCTTCCTACACAAGTGTTCTAAATTCTGCATAATAATCCAATAATCCAATAGGTCCAAGATGGTTAACTGAGAAAGATAGAATAATTTATTACCCCAAAATCAGGAAATTTTGTACCTATTGCTCATTAATTCTAAAGTCACTCTGGCATGGCAGTCTTTGGCTCTGATAACCATTTGAACTTCGTCTTAGCAGCCAGGATCTCAAGGAGGAGCACTAAGGCTAAGGATACAACTCCTGCAGCTAATTTTAAAATTCTTGTTTGATTTGAGTGACAGTGAATGCATATTAAGGATAAGGGTAGCAATCTCCCTAAGCATTTACAAGTTCAGACAATATCCGGTTGTTTCTAATAAAAACTAACTATGTTTCTCTTTTAAAAAGTCACCAAATATTGTATATATTCTGAAAGCATATCCAAAAGAAATCGGTGAGACACAGATGTAGGATGGAAGAGAAAGATACAAGAATTATTTCAAAATTTCCTGCTGAGCAGCTCTAATGCACTGTACCTGTTACTAATCAGAGCGGGGAAGACTGGAAGAAATTTGAGAAGGGAATATCAAGAGCTCAAGTTCCAGATATATTAATCTGGCAGGTTGTCAGATATCTCAGTGGAGATGCCAAGCAAGGAGTTGGGTCTGAGCACCTGAAGAACCAGCACAAGGTCTGGGCAAAGCAATGGAACCAAATGAGGCCACCAAGGAAGTTGAGAACTATATGATGACTGAATCCTACAACATTCCAATATTTAGAAGGTGGAGCAATAAGAGGGAATTAGCAGAAAGGATTTTAAGGGCAGTTGGTGCAACAAGGAGAAAAGCCAGCAGGCACAGGATCCTAGATACTAGGCGAACCAAGTATTTCAAAAAGGAGACAGTAACCAACTACTTTACAGGCTGCTTCTGTCTCAAGTAAGATGAGAACTAAGTGACCACTGGATTCAGCAAAAGGAAGTCACTGGTAACAGTGCGCCAACTGAAATGGTGGGATAAAAGTTCACTTGAACTGTTGAAGAAAAACTGGAAGGAGAGGAACTAGACAAAACTCTTTGAGATTCTGATGGAAAGCAGAAGAAATAAAGCAACAACTCAGATGTGAGATCAAGAGCTTTTTTGTTTTCTTTTAAGATAAATCATAATATTTTACATGCTGATAAAATAATCCAACATGTGGGAGGGGGGAAGATGAGAGAGGAAGACAGACTTTACAGAGCGACCTTCTTGGTCAGGCACAGTATTAAAATGATTTCATTTCAAAGCAGTATTTAAAACGAAAACAATGAAGCTTTTTAATAGTGCTTCAACACGGGAACACCAGTAAACACATACACTGGAAGGCAGAGTAACGCAAAAATGGCAAAAGACAAGTAGGAAAAGCAGTGAGGGTGGATGCCCAACTACTGAGATGACACCCTTTAGAATGCTATGTGGTTATGCTCACATTAGCATGGGTGCAAGAGTTCAGAAAGCCCAAATTCTTAAGGGTGTCTGATCTCCAAAAGGATTAAGCCCCTTTCCTTATTACTTAATGCTTATCCAAGGGATAACAACTATTAAAGTTATGAGGGAAAAAAACATCAAAATATGAAACCACAGAAAGATCTCAAACTTCTTTTGGCTGAAAAAATGACAAGAAAATAAACTGTCAGCAAAGCATTGGGCAGTGGAGAATAGTTATAAAAACTGTAAAAAAAAAAAAATGGCTGTTATGAGGCCCAGTGCCGTGGCCTAGTGGCTAAAGTCCTCACCTTGAACACCCGGGATCCCATATGGGTGCTGGTTCTAATCCCAGCAGCCCTGCTTCCCATCCAGCTCCCTGTTTGTGGCCTGGAAAAGCAATCAAGGACAGCCTAGATCTTGGGACCCTGCACCCACACACGAGACCCAGAAGAACTCCTGGCTCCTGACTTCAGATCAACATAGCTCCAGCCATTGCGGTCACTTGAGGAGTGAACTATTGGACGGAAGATCTTCTTCTCTGTCTCTCCTCTCTCTCCCTCTCTCTCTCTCTCTGTCTATATATATCTGACCTTGCAGTAAAAATAAATCTTAAAAAATGGCTGTTATCCCTAATATAAAAATGTCCATAAAATTGTTGAAAAAGCAATGAGAAATTGTAAACCAGTCATAAGCAGAAAGTGAATACCTAATAAAAATTTTTCTAATGTCAGCCACAATTACACTAAAAACATTACAAAGTGAAACAGTGAATTACCCTTTTTTTTGCCTATCAAAAAGACAAAGATTTAAAAATAAATAAATATTGACTATTAAAATGGTAGTAATGTATAGCACTGGTAAGGATTTAAACTGGTTTAGCCTCTGTGTAATTTGACAGTGGATTTCAGACCTCTCTCAAGGAACCTACCTGCTACAAATAATCAAAACCTATAAAGCTTCTGGAATAAATTTTATATTAGAATATTATACTCAAAAATAGGAAGTAACCTATATGTGCAGCAATAGGAACGTGGTTAAGTATATTTTGCATATTTATAAGTAGGTTACTGAACCTAGTTATTAACACAAATCCCATAGGAGATTTTTCTACAAATAAAAATATCTGAGCAAAATATTCAGCAACTTAAACATGATCACCGTGGGGCAGTGTTGTGGCACAGCACGCTGAGTGCTCCAGCAGCTCCTATTACAGTGCTGGTTCAGGTCCAAGCTTTCCCACTATGGATCTAGCTCCCTGGCAATGCACCCAAGAAGGCAGCAGATGGCAGGTGACGGCTGAAGTACCCTGGGCCCCTGCCACCAATGTGAGATACCTGGATGAAACTCCTGACTAACCCAGTCTCACAGCTGCAGACATCTGGAGATGCAATCCTGACCTCCCTCTCCTCACACCCATCTCACCTCCACTCAGTCATTCTGCCTTCCTAATAAATAAATCTTAAAAATGAAAAGTATTAGGATCTTAATTGTTCTAAATAAACACTTACTGTAGCTAAGATAGAAACCCCAAGGACACTAGAGAAGTTCACAAATCCAGCTTCCTCCATTTACTGGCTTTGCAGTCTGGACTCCGTTGCCTGACCTCCCTAACAGGCACCTGAAAATATCAACAACGGGGCAGTGCAAGGCCTGCCACAAAGCAGGTACTCAGTAAACATAACCTGCTAGGAAATTATGAGTATTACAAAAAAGATAATTAAAAGAAGTTATATAGGGCCAGTGCCATGGCAGAGCAAGGTAAACCTCTAATTGCAGCGCCAGCACCCTATGTGGGTGACAGGTTGAGTCTCAGCTGCTCCACTTCTCATTCAGTTCCCTGATGGTGTGACCGAAAAGGCAGTGGAGGAATGCCCAGGGATCTAAGCCTCTGAACCCACGTGGGAGACCTGGAAGCGACTCCAGGCTCTGAGCTCCGAGCAGGTCCAGCTCCAAGCTGGCTCAGCTCCAGCCCTCGTGACCATTTGGGGAGTGAACCAGTGGGTAGCAGATCTCTTTCTCCTTATTTCTCTGTGTAATTATGCCTTTCAAATAAAAGAAGTAAATCTTTGAGTCAGTTATTTTAAAAGAAATAAATTATATAATATCATGAACCATCATCTCTGTATGCTAGAGTTTTCATGATTTTCATTCTTTTTTAATTCTCTGCACTTTCCAATTCTCTGTACTTTTGGGTTCCCATTATGTTAAATCACTTAGAAAAGTAATGTAACCAAAATTAACTTATAATATCTAAGCTTCTTATGACTTCACTAGAAATAAATTTGCTTCAAAATAATTCAAGTATATTCCTATGGATGTAAATAAATATGAAAATGTAGTTATGATATGCATTATTCAGTATTTTACTTACAGAGTCTCCTGTCTTGGCTGAGACAAAGTGGCTACTAAAACCATTTTCCTGGCAAAACCGCAAGTGCTTTTCAGATTTTACTGTTCGCATATGCTCCAAATCAACTAAAAGGTGTTAAAGAGAGGGGAAAAGTTATACATTAGAATCATCTGAGACACTTCTGACAACATCACCCACGCCCACCCCCCAGAACTGGGAAAGACCCTATCCGCACCCCACAGCTGCAGGGCTACAACTGCCAATGCTACGGGCTTTAGCATCACTGATGGTCACTGCCCAGGATCTGCAGGTGGTCCCCACTTTGTCCTACTGCCATTCTATCCCACTCTGACTAATGTTTAACTTGCCTTCACAAGTCCTGTCCACTCCTACATCACACCACAAACTACACAAATTACTACCATGTGACACTAAGAAAACACATTGCTGATGTTTAAAACAACTGGGAAAAAAAACTCCTATGGAAGCTACACTTCTAGATGTGCCCAGAACCAAAGTCAAAGCAACTACCCAACTGATACCACACATTCCACCCAAACAGAAGTTTTAAAAATATACTTATAAAGAAAGAGAGACTTCTAAATCAGATGGAAGGACATCAATAAAGTGACACAGGAAACACTAAGAAAGGAAACACGACACTTTCAAGGGGAAACAATAATCTTTCAGAAATAGATTCTGATTTGGAAGAAATTTATTCAATGTCTGAAAAGAATTAAAAGTAATGATCCTGGGCCCGGCGCGGTGGCACAGTGGTTAAGGTCCTCGCCTTGCACGCCCGGGATCCCATATGGGCGCCAGTTCTAATCCCGGCAGCCCCGCTTCCCTTCCAGCTCCCTGCCTGTGGTCCGGGAAAGCAGTCGAGGACGGCCCAAAGCTTTGGGACCCTGCACCTGCACAGGAGACCCGGAAGAGGCTCCTGGCTTTGGATGGGCATAGTATCGGCCATTGCGCTCACTTGGGGAGTGAATCATCATCGGATGGAAGATCTTCCTCTCTGTCTCTCCTATCTGTATATCCGCCTTTCCAATAAAAAAAAATAATAAAAATAAATCTTTTTAAAAAAAATAATGATCCTAAACAAACTCAGTTAGATTAAAGTGATTATTAAGAAATAAAAAATCACAGAGTCACTAACATTGAAAGAATTCATGTGAAATCTTGAGGCTGAAAATTCAGATCAATAAAATTAAAATGAAAATAGAGAGCTTCAACAACAGAAAAGACCAGGAAGAAGAAAGAATTTCTAATCTTAAAGACAAGACACCTGAAATAACTCCATCAGCAGAAATAAACAAACAACAACATAAAAGAATAAAGCAAGCAAAAGCAGTACCATCAAGAAAACATTTACATTATGCAGATAACTGAGGAAGAGTCTAGAAAGAGATCCACGAGGCTCAACAGATCTAATACACTAAATTAAAAAGAACTTCTCCAAGGCCTTTTACATTCAAACTGTAAAAAGTTAAATGACAACTAGAGGGCCTGGCACAGTAGCCTAGCAGCTAAAGTCCTTGCCTTTCACATGCCAGAAACCCATATGGCGCCAGTTCTAATCCCGGAAGCCCTGCTTCCCATCCAACTCCCTGCTTGTGGCCTGGAAAAGCAGTCAAGAATGACAGCCCAAAGCCTTGGGACCCTGCACCCACATGGGAGACCCAGAAGAAGTTCCTGGCTTCAGATCAGTGCAGCTCTGGCCACTGCAGCCACTTGGGGAGTGAATCAACAGATGGAAGATCTTCCATTCTGTCTCTCCTCCCTGTATATCTGACTTTCCAATAAAAATAAAACAAATCTTAAAAAAAAAAAAAAAACAGAAAGAAAAAGCAAAAAGAGATGCCTTTTATGGAAGTTCTCTCAGCTCTGTAAGAGGAAACTGATAACACAGGGCCAGTGTGATAGCTCAACTGACTCAAAAAAAAAAAAAAACAAACTAGAGAATCCTAAATGGCAGTGAGAAAAAGAGCAGCAAGTTAAACAAAAAAGAAAACCCATTACACTAACAAGATGTTTCAGCAGACAGTTCAGAAGTCAAGAGAGAATGGGATGCCACCTCAAGGTCCTGAAAGAAAGAACCTTCCAACCAAAAGTATTATACCCAGGAGAACTATCCTGTGAAAGTGAAAGAAAAATAAAGTATTCCTCAGACAAGCAAAACCTGGGGAAATTCATCACCATTAGCTCTGTCCTGCAAGAAGTTCTTAAGGATTCCTAAAACAAAAGTTAACAGTAGCCATCAGGAAAAGAAATTATCACGTACCAACAGAGCAGGAACACAAAAGAAAATCAAAACATAATACAGGGAGACTCAAGATGGAAGAATAGGGTAAGGAGACGTTTGAACAGACAGAGAAATATTAGCCAGTGTGACACATTCCAGGAAATAGGAAAGAGCAGAACAGCAGAGGGGCACCTGGAGACTGCCAGACACAGGAAAGCAGCGAATACAACGGGGTGGTATTGCAGATCTGAACTCCAAATGGAAATCAGAAGCATGCAAGAATACATATTCTTATATTTGAAACATATTTTAAATTGTAAATGTAAGCAAAGACAAGTCAGTATACATTGATAAGAGGATCAACTCAGAAAGAATAGTTAACAACTGCAAATATACAAAAATAACCATCAAAATGCATAAAGCAATTATTATGAAACCTAAAAGGAGAGATTAATTCTAACACAATACAATTTGGAGATTCAACACTCCATAGTACTCAACGGACAGATCATTCTAACAAAACCAACAGACAAATCAGAGCCGACCACACATTACAGTAAACGCACCTAGCAGAGGCAGGCAGAGCATCTCATGCAACAGCTGCAGACCACAGAGTCTCACGGTAAACTCCCAGTGCAGACCTTCAACCAGGCCACAGCCAAAAATTGTAAAAGTAAAAATGTACTATGTGTCTCTTGAGACCAAATTGAAATAAAACTAAAATTAACAATGGAAAAGTTGTAAAACACACTGAAATTAAAAAATACACTTCTAAGTCACCAAGCCCATTGAAGAAATTAAAAAGAAAGTCAAAGATTTCTTGAAACATGAAAATGAAAACACAACAACTAAAATATGTGGGATAGGGCAAAAGCAGTATCAAGAGGGAAGTTACGCGGTGGCACAGTGGTTAAAGTCCTCGCCTAGCACGCCCGGGATCCCATATGGGCGCCAGTTCTATCCTGGCAGCCCCGCTTCCCTTCCAGCTCCCTGCCTGTGGCCCAGGAAAGCAGTCGAGGACAGCCAAAGGCCTTGGGACCCTGCACCTGCGTGGGAGACCCGGAAGAGGCTCCTGGCTTTGGATGGGCATAGCATCAGCCATTGCGCTCACTTGGGGAGTGAATCATTGGACGGAAGATCTTTCTCTCTGTCTCTCCTCTCTATATCTGCCTTTCCAATAAAAAAATAATAAAAATAAATCTTTTTAAAAAATTAAAAAAGAGGGAAGTTACAACAGTATGTACGTGTGTGTTTTATTTTAAATGTTTTCACTTTAATTTTTAATTAATTTTAACAGCTTTACTACACATTGCAGGAACAATTCCGGTAGAATGACATGGTTTTTTCTCTCCCTCACTCTCTCCCCTCTTCTGCTTCCCACCTTTTTTCCTTCCTCTGTTTTTGTTTTTCTTTAGTTTTTGAGATAATAACTTTTAAATTTAAACTACAGTAAAAAGGCTTAATACTTCACCAAATAAGAAGTTTAACAGGTTAAACGTTTAATGGGAATAAAGATATCCAGTTGAAAAAATAACTGAATGGAAAATGACTATTTGACCCATATAGAGGAAATTTTAAAGTAATCACAGATAATTAATGTATAGTAATGTAACATTCTTAACCAATGGTCATACAAGGTATAAAACAAAGTTTTACCAAATGCTATTTACAGCAATGCTGATACACACAGGCAATTGTACATATTTTGATAAGTAGATTTCAAATATAAAATTTAATTACACAACTCAAGGACTTAGAAAGAAATAAATCAAACCCAAAATTACTAGTATATAAGAAATAACAAATCAGACCAGAAATGAAATAGAAACCTACATAAATGCACCATAAAAACAGTTTAACGTAATGCAAAGCTAGTTTTCTAAAAAGCTAAAACAGACAAGTCTTCAGCAAGAAAGTTAAAATTCAGAATTCTGTAGTAATAAATAAGTGTTCTAGACACAGAGCAATTTTTTTGCATGGAAGGTAAAGCTTCCAGCATCCCCAGTGAGAGTGGCTGGGCCGTGCTCGGGGCGCCGCTGGAGACACAGGGCCAGCCCATGTGGGAGCCGGGCTGAGCCCTGATGTTGGCCTCAGCCTTGCCCAGCCACCTGAGCAGTGCATCGTCACACAAAGGAGATTCATTCTCTTTCTGACTCTAAAATAAATTATAATAAAATGAACATTGGTACCAATCCTAGGCACATACAATTTACAAAAGTAAATCATGAAAATATAGAAAACCTAAACAGATCAATAATGAATGACAATTTTGAAGCAGTAGTTAAGCCTCCCATCAAAGGAAAGTTTAGGATCTGTCAGCCTTAAAATTGAATTCTATAAAACTTTTTCAAAAAAATTCATTCCAATATTTCTCAAATTATTCCAAAGTATTTAAAAAATATGAAACTTTTTCATACTCTCATAATGAGGGAAGCATTATACTGAACACTAAAACCAAAAAAGATACAACTGAAAAAGACAACTGCAGACCTGTAACATTGATGAACACAAATACAAAATTCTTAAAAAAAAAAAAAAGCATTAGCAAATTGAATTCAAAGTAAAGCAAAAGATCACAAATCAAGATCAAGTGAGATTTTTCTGAGGGATTCAATAGTGGCTCACAAATCAACAAACTTCATATTAGCAGTATGAAGAACTACATCGTGGGCCCAGCGTGTTACCCTAGTGGCTAAAGTCCTTGCTTCCATGTGCTGGGATCCTGCATACTGACAGCTCCACTTCGCGTCCAGCTCCCTGCTTGTGGTCTAGGAAAGCAGTGGATGACAGCACAAAGCTCTGACAACCTGCACCTATGTGGGAGACCCAGAAGAAGCTCTTGGCTCCTGGCTTCAGATTGGCTCAACTCCAGTCATTACC